GCGCGGCACGTAAATGCGGACCGCCGCGCCTGGGCGGAAGCCAAATTTGGGTAAAACTGAAATTCAGATTCAGCCCGACTGGAGATTCTCCATGTTAAGCCGCGGTCGAAATTCCACTTAAATTCTAATGTAAGTGGGAAACGGTACGCGGCGCCAGGTGCCGAAATGCGAGGGCACACCGAAGGGGTGGGGGGAAGAGGGATCATTTGTCTGACCCGTTTAGGACTATGCGCCCTCGAGCATTCTGCGGACGGAGTCCTGCAAAATTGAATGCTATAAATTTGGAAGAAAGTGAAAGAGAGAAAAAGGGAGGAAGAGAGAGAGAGAGGGAGGGAGAGGAAGAGAACCAAAGAGTGAAACGCAACAATCAACTGGTGTAGGTAGGTTGAAAAGAATCCACGTAACGAGTCTGCTTCTAAATGTTCCGTGTCTTAAGAGCGGGGGATAGTCTTACCTACATTGAGACAAACAAAAGATAAATTGAGGCATAGCAATAAAGGAAATAAAAATTTACGGAGAGAAGAAAATATTTGCGGAGAGACCGACGTGTAATCATCTGGAAGCTTGTACATTCGCATCTCTCAGGCTGGAAGAAACGAAGAAAGGGGGAAAAGAGCGAGTGGATAGTCTCTCATAATTATTCTCTTATAATTCGCCGCCATCAACGTGCGCGTGTTCTCTTACGAGATATTAATATCTTTTTAATAAACTTCTTTCTCAGAGTATGTGAGGGAGAGGGAGAGAGAGAGAGAGAGAGAGAGAGAGAGAGAGAGAGAGAGAGAGAGAGAGAAGAGAGAGCCGTTGCTATGAGATAATTTCACTTATGAAGCATCGTCGGCTAGACTTTCGACTATTGAAGCTGTGAGATGGCTTACTATCTTCTCCTCCTTCGTAAGCTTTCGTTTCGAGTTTACTTGAAAACTTGCGGTGTAACTCTGACTGCTTCGTTTAAATCGTTATTTTCGTTCGATCGATCCCGCGCCATTATCGCTCCTATTCTCTAACGCGTCCTATTCTCTAACGCGTTCTATTGTTATCCGCAGGGGAAACGCAAAGAAAGCAATTTCTCTTCCATTGTAATATTTTCCTAATTAACGTGCACTATTTTACCGTCTATTCTCTCTCTCTTTCTCTCTCTCTCTCTCTCTCTCTCTCTCTCTCTCTTTCTCCCCTCCCCTCTCCCTCTCTCTGTTTCACTTACGTGTATTACAGTGTTTTTATTCTTTTAATATTATTTCAGCCGTGTATACCCGACTATTCTAAACTTCGCGTAAAATGAATTGTTATTTTATCGTGTTTATCTTTATTACCGCAAGGCTATTGTACTCCTCCTCGCTTAACGCGCATGCATAAGAGATTATTGCCGGAATATAATAAATTTCTACTGTATTCTCTCTACTTCGTCCTCCCTCCCTCTCTCTCTCTCTCTCTCTCTCTCTCCCCCTCTCCCTCTCTCCCCCTCTCTATCTCGCCAGGGACCTGCGGTGCACACGGAGGTTCCGTGAATCGGCCGTAACGTTAAGGGCACGTACGTCGGTACGGCGAGCGGATATCAAAGAGAGTATCGTGCAGCCTTCCCGCCGGCAGCAGGCGGCTTCTAGCTGCTAATGATCGCGGTGTACCGTAACGTGCTACACGATTCCGACGATAAACTACAACGCACCCGACAGCACCCGCGGCACCGCAAACCCGTTTTTCGAGCGTGGACTTTTTCACGCTCCTCCTCCTCCTTCACCTCCGTCTCTGACTCTGCTCTTCTCCTTCTCAGTCTCTGCCATCGCTCGCTCGTAAGTATCTAACAATAAGTACACTACCCGACGAGCGCCCCGTCGCGATAGGCTACCTGCTTTTATAGCATATTATGTACGTACCTACGTTATACCTTATCTCGTTACACATGTCATTAACGTGGCGACGCTCGGTCAAGGTATACGCAAGCCCTTTTTGCGCGGACGTTAACGACCTAGTGATAACTGAGCGTTGAATGGGGCACGCCTCGCGCGGTCACACGGAGCGCTCTTAATATTCTGCATTATCGCCGAGTTGCTCTTAATTTCGGATTATCCAGTTAAGATCGAGTGGGCACGCGCGCGATACGGCACTCGAGGCAAGGGACTCTCCGTAGTAGCTTCCACGCCGCACGATCGTCGTATCTCGCTTCCTCGAGGAAAAAAACCGACGAGTAAACAAAGATTCGTCAGCAAGTATAAAGCAACGCGAGTGCGAGCGAGAAATAGAGACCGTTGCGAGGAAGACGCACCTCCGAGGTCAAGCATCGGCGGCCTCGTGATCCGCGATTGCCGGGGGGGGGGGGAGCGGGATATCCCTTTGTACGGAGGCCCTACCGCTTTCTAATAACCGCTGCCTGTAAACTGCCCCCTCCTGCTCATCGCTAAATAACCGACGATCAAGGGAAGCCTTCTCATTACTACTACTACTACTACTACTACTACTACTACTACTACTACTATCGCGGCGCGCGCAATTTGCATTAGCTGCGCAAACGAGCCGCGCGACCTCGAGCAAGGTCGCCGCTTTTGCCCACCCTTAAGATTAATAATGCACGGCCGTTCACGGTGGCGAGAAGTCAGCCGACAGGGAGACAAGGGTGCGCTATTATGCGCGAGCGTCACGGTAGCAGAATGCTTGTCGCCCCGCTCGATCTTTGGAGACGCCGGAGAGCGTCCGGAGAGCATCGATTGCGCGGCACGGCAAAGAAGAATCGCGGGTACTGTTCACGAAAAGCGCGCACCTGCTCCCGTAGCCACTCACGGTCCGCGCTCCTTTGTCGGCGACCTCGAATTCTCCCGTGCTTTGATCTTTCGTCGACGACGACCGGGACAAACAACGGCCGCGCGATGACAGAGTTATGGTGCGCCGCCGCGGCTATTTGCGGCCGCCCGTAGCGCTCCGCAACGAAAAGCGGTTGCGCCGCGCCGAGTTGGCGCGCGCGCGCGCACGGCGAATTGCGCGCGAATTAGACTGCTAATTGCCAGGACGCGTCGGGAATTAATTGCGGCGAGATAGAAACGTAATTGAAGAGCCGGTGGCATCGCGCATCGAGCGAGAGACCGCCTTGAGGGATCCGAAAACGATCCTTTGGCGGATGCGAGAACGAAATTCCCCCGAGGTAGCTAACATCTTGCGCCATTTTTCTTTTTGCTTATTTTGTTTTGTAGCTATTCCTTTTTTATTCAGCTGTAGCTTGGATTTTGTGCCGCGCTGGTCGCTTTAGCGGATATAATATATTCATCATTTTGCGCTGGGTAAGCGGTGCCGCATTTTACTCACACGTCGGAAAAATTGTGTACGTTTATTTTTCACGACAATTCGAACACTCACACATCGGCACGGAAATAAAATAAAAATATCGTTAATCTCCTGCTCGAACGAAATAAAATGATATATTTTTGAGGAAAAAAAATGAAAAAAAACTCCATGTTTCTAGTTTACAAAAAATACAGGAATCGAATGCGTCATTCCTCTGATGTCTTTTCGATGTTGCGAATTGTAATATTTGTATCGCCGAGTGGAATTGCAAATTCAAGCTTCAATTAGCGAGAGGAAGCGAATGAAAAAATCAGCGAATATGCATGGGCCACATTCAATAGTCGGCCGGCCATTTGTTAATTGAATATATCAGTGTTCGATGCATGATAAAATAAAGCATAAAAACCTTTAAACCGCAATTACATGAAAAAGTGGCTCCGACAACGCGCCGGTTCGACGACCCCGAAATTCCCCGTCGTTGTGTGATATCGCGCGCAAATTTATGCGAGCGCTGTAGAACGCGGCGTCAACGATATCGCGGTCTGACTTTCTGCGGCCGCGATGGATGGCTAACAAATTAATGCAAGTTCCCGTGCAAATTGCATGCGCGCGAAACGAGACACGACAACGAGACGCCGGACTTATGGCCGGCCGCAATCATTTCAATTACTGTTGCCGGCCATCAGCGAAAGATCAAATATTGAAAACGCAATTGTGTTCCACTAACGTGTACGGAAATAACGAGCGGCCTCGTGCAAACTCAGCCGCGCGGCGGATTTATCGAGCTTCCTTACGTGCAACCGCGACTGCGGAAAAGCTGGCGCTGTGCCGCGCTCTACGTTCCTGCGGCATTATGCATTCCCGCGATATACGAGGAACAACGAAGACGAATTTAACAGTCTCCTCCTACCAGAGGTAAGAGCGCCTCGGTCACCGAGGCTCTGTTGAAAAAATACGCCGGCTCTTATCTAATTGCAGCAGTTACTTCCGCATCGAGTCCGTCCGTATCTATCGCGACTCGAATTCGAAAGACGTGCAATGCAGCGCGCACTTTTCCCAAAGATAAACGAGACTTCGAGCGACCTCGAGTTATCGCCGTTTCCGCCGTTTTTCTTTGTACTTTGTACTTCGGATCGTTTCAATTATACACTCGAATATACACAGAGCGGAAACGCAGTCCGACCAAAGCGCGCACCACTTGACCAAATCGATACCGCAACATTTCGTGATCATTGCGCGCGAGCTCGCAGTCAAAACAACCCTCCGCATGGTGGTGAGAACCATGTTCATCCACCACCCTTCAGGCTCTTCGTCTCTCCCCCCTCTCTCACGCTCTTCTCTCCGACTCTCTCTCTCTCTCTCTCTCTCTCTCTCTCTCTCTCTCTCTCTCTCTCTCTCTCTCTCTCTCTCGTTCTCCCCTCTCGCCCTCTCGCCGGTATGCTCTTGCTGCTTACTTCGCGCGGTTTGAGCTGGCCCGATTGTCAGTCGGTCCCCGACTCCGATGGTGCAAGGAGCGTTCAACGGCGTTGTGGCAGAAGCGATCACAGGAGCGATCCCCTCGCATCGGAAGATCACACGCCGAAGAAAACGCGCGTCGAGCATCCACGATCTCCCTGTAGATCTGTCGTCTCATTGAATCTCTGCCCCTCTTCCCCCGCAGCAATTAACAAGTGTTCTCTCTCTCCCTCTCTCCCTCTCTCTCTCTCTCTCTCTCTCTCTCTCTCCCTCTCTCCCTCTCTCTCTCTCTCATGAAAACAATCGTTCGCGTATCGAAAACACCTCCGTTCGCCGTACGCTCCGCGGAAGCGCGTCGGCCGAGATCTTCGTGACGCTCGACTTGGTGGCGAGGACTCCGAAGCGACCGCGACGCTTCGAAGTTCGAAGCGGACGGCGGGACGCCGCGGAAGAAGAGAAAGAGGAAGAGGAAGAGGAAGGAGGAAGAGGAAGAGGAAGAGAAGGAAGAGGTAGAGGATCGGGCGAGAAGAAGAGGAGGTGTCAGTCGCTGTTAGTTCGTCGATCGTGGCCGGCACGTGCGCGCACCCGGCCCCTCGTGCCTCGAAAGAAGAAGGGTGTGCTGCATCGGCGGAAGGAGCGAAGAAGGAGAGAAGAAAAGGAGAAGCGGCCGAGGCAGAAAGTGACGGCAGTGCGCTCCGAACCGTCAAGCGGGACGCTGAGGGAGAGAAAGCGGAGTCGCTTCTCAGGTGCGCTCAGGTGCGTGCCGCACCACGTGACCACCGGCTCTCGCGAACGACGCGAGACACCCTCTCTCGCCCGACGAGAGCGAACTCCCTCTCTCTCTCTCTCTCTCTCTCTCTCTCGTCGTTGTTCTCTCGCACTGAGCGCGAAGGCCGGCGGCGGGCGCGCGGCTATACACGATTTTCGTAGGCGCGAGTATGAATGGATCGACGAGTGGACGAGAGGACGTAGTGCTGTGACTCGCCGACGAGGATGGTCCGCGTGAGAGTACAGCCGCGCCGGTGCACACACGCGTAGTTTAAAGGTGGCCGACATGAACTACGGTGGTTGCGCGGTGTGAATAAGAGAGACACGAAGATTCGCCCCGTTAGAACAGCGACTGCGCTATCGACATTCGACGAAGCTTCAACATGAGGACGGGGTTGCAGGTGAGTCCAAGTTTCACCCCCGCGCATGCGGCATGTCTCGCGATCCGGTCGGATTTCTTTGCAGCGATTTCGAGTAACAAGTGTTACTCGAGGCGGCTCTGGCTCAATACGGAGTTATCTAGCGCTCCGTACGTTTTCGTACGTTTTCGTACGGAATTGCGCCACTTGTTTGTGCCCGTCTTTGTCAACTCGGGAAGTTGTGTTTTATTTATTTTCACAAATCTTACTAAGCTTATTTTATCATGTTCTCGTGCTCTCGTGCTCTTCTTCTCACGTGTCGTGATCAAACGTGTACGACGTGCCTTGGTTTTCTCATTGAATACAAATCTACTTGATTTAGATACATTCCTTTAATTCATATACATATCATAGCATATCATAGCATATCGTAGCACGCGTGACATGGACACGCGTGGAAAGTGTTGAATTACTCGTATTAATCTACCGCGCAAAATTAATTAAGTTAATTATCGGTCACTTTGAGAAAGAAGTTATTCGTTATAGCACGGAGATAACGAGACGCGAGACTTGCTTCCAGAAGGCAATTGGCAATTAGAGGAGACCCGACATTTTTAAATAGCTACGTAGCCGAGAATGAGAAGCGACTCTCGGCTGACGCAACTCCGCGTAAAAATAGTCACAATGAAGGAGGGTATAAATAAAAACACAAATAAAAGTAGATCGCCGCAATGCGGCGGGCACGAGCGTCCAGGGTACTAAATAATCCAAAATACATCACAAGACCCCGTATGCGTGGCGCGTATAAAGAGAAGATGCGTTAATGCATCGTCAACAGGGGCGAATGTCCTTTGCGTTAATTCCTCTACGACACGCACACGTACACACACACACACACACACACACACGCCCACAAGAAGACGCGCACACGGACGCGTCGTAAGACGAGTAGCACCGAGGCAACCCAATCCTCTTTTAACGCTCTTTGATCATCTGGAGGTTCTGCTTTCATGGCCCTCGTCGCGCGTTTCTAACCCCCCGCTCTCGGCCCTCACGGTTTCTCCCCCTCCCCCTCGCACTGACACCGTCGCCGGCGACCAGGCCCCTCGCGTATACCCGCGGCCTTTAGCCTTTAACTTTTAAGTACGATTTAACGAAAGCCTTTGAAACCCCCGCCTGCCGCGAAAGTCCGGAACCGGCCGCCGGTTCCCCAGGGTTATTTGACCTCCGCGGCCCAGGCTCCTCGGAACCCTCCTTTACCTCTGCACTTCCGCGCGCTTTTACCCTCGCGAACGCGCCACGATTTGCCGTCGTCGCGCTCGCTTTGATATTTTTGATTCCCCCTCGCGCGCAACGGCAACGTCAGCACGTCAAAAGTGCCGAGAGCACACGACCTTTTTGTGCGCGCCGACAGCGTGGAAAATATCATTGTCCCCGCGTGTGACGTTGACGATTCTCTCACGTATGGGCGATCGACGCGAACGGCGACGGACCAGTCCATCGCGATGGGAAAACGCGTGGCGCGGCAGATGAGTGGGAAGTTGGACGGCCCCACGCGTGATTAAGGTTGCGTAAGCAACGGTTCGTATGATTTCGGTTCGCGAGAGTCACCGGGACGAATGTTCGCGGCCGAAGGGAATCCGAGATGAGAGAGAGAGAGAGAGAGAGAGAGAGAGAGAGCACTAAAATGATGCAGGATGCGATCTGACGAAAAATCAAATGAAATTTAGACTCCGCCGTCGTGTTCTCGCGGTATTAATACCGACGCAGGCGACGTCGTTAATTACGGCGGTGATTGAATCTCGTTAGTTGCGGGCTGCTTGGAGGGCAAGCTCGACGTTAGCGGGGCGACTTCCTGAACGGCCGACTACGACATGCTTGATTTGGCACGTACAATTCGTGCGACGATGCACGCGATCGCGCTGCACGCGATAAATCACTGCGGTAACTAGCCGCGCCGGATAAACCGCGAGCTCGCGCGCGCGAATCACACGCGATTCTCCCCTGCAGATTTATCGGCCTCCTGCCGCCGACAGTCGTGGCGGTATGCGCTCTCTCCCTCCTCCAACCCAACCGTTAAAGGGATGCGATTGTTCGAGATTCAGAAAAGAAAAAAAGAAAAAAGGAGAGGTGGAAAATCATTTCGTCATGTAATATCGATGTGCGAATCTCTCCAGCGAGATTTTAATATCGGAAATGGCGAAACGATTTCCACATCTCCGGCGTCCCGGCGCGAATTACGCTCTATCGTGCCGCCACGTGTAAACCCCAAGTTTTTAAGCGTGTTTTATATATGTGAAATAACGTTTCATTCTTTTTTTTCAAACTGCAACCACTATGACCTGTATGCAGAAATCCGGACGGAATTACGGTTTGGAGAGAGTGCGGAAAACATTTTTTCCTGTTGCGTAAACTATCAATGGGAATAAAACATACGGCAGTTGTTGTAAATAAAATGGAGCTAATTTTTTTTCTCAATTGTTAGAATTATGAGCGCGTACTTGTCGTTTCTCACACGTTTATGGATATTTTGACGGCCGGACATTATTGCGTGCGTTTGTTTCTTTTGTCCGTGTCATGCCTTGAATATTTTATTCTTTGCACATATTTTTGTTGGATAATTATTTCCGTTCAAATCGCTTTTCCGTTTTCAGCTGATAAATTAGGTTGGCTGTGCAATATTTAATGTGCATTTGACGCGTTTATGGAACATTCGGGATATTTCCAATTGACCTATTTTGCGATAATTAAATAATGTACTGTTTCTACAGTACCTGTCGTCCATTTCTTCTTTTTACTCTCTTTAATGTACCGAATGTCCGGCAATGTCTATGACGATGATAAAGCGGTATATTTTTTCAGCGCAAATTTAATGGCGAGAACTATTTTTCTTAGCGACTCTTGAATTTTCGAAACGGAGTGCCTCGGAAATTAAGTCTCACTCTTCTCTGTTAGCGTGAGATTAATTCAAAATTAATTAAAGACCATAGAATTTTTTATTACGTGTTTGTTCTTTCGAAGATTAATCGTACAGAATCCGCTTAATCTTCAGCGCTCAGACAATTCACCCGTAATCAGATTTTGGTTTTAAGAGCTTAACACGGAGAAAATGATTAAGGGCAATTTTACGCAATACTTTTCATGTCTACACGTTGTTACGTTGCGCATCGCTACTGTGCAGAATATTCGCGCGTTGCGCGAATATACGAGTGTTGCGAACGCAATCAAATACGTAGTTCTAAATGTTCCTGTAATTCCAGTTAAACAAACGAATGTACCGTAAAATAGGGTTATTTTCTGGTTACAATACGTTTCTATGACGATATCATTTAAACGCCAACACAAATCTGTCGTACTGTTATCAAGTCAACAAGCCTCAGTCATCAATCAACTCTTATCATTAACAAATTGCGTGTTACATTTGCGTGAAATAACCATTCGTTACGCGAAACAATACTGCAATCAACAATGCCGGTGCGGAGCTAAATATTTCGTGTTTCGCACACCGCAATGCGTGTATACATTTTTCACCTTCATAGAAAGCTGTATATATAAATAAGTTTGTATCCACCGCCAACACGCTATGCGATCGCGCTATTATTGCGTCACTAATATTTTTACCCTCTTTTCCCCCTCAGCGAAAGGGGAAATCACTTCAAAAAGAGATACGTGGCAGTGAACGATTACCTCATTTTACTTTGAATAAATGATCAGCGGTGTCGCGTGACAATGTATTCGCGATCCGTGATGGAGTGATGGACGGCCATTCCATTCCGCTGTCGAGTTCGCCCGCGAGAGACCCCGCAGGTAATAAACGCGATTACGAAACGCGGAGCGACGACGTACATGCTGCTCGTCGTCGCTCCGACGTGCGAATACGCCTGCCGTAAAAAGAAGGGCGTTTAATTGCGATGATCTTCTATGCCACCTGCTGTAAGGTTTTACGTTACCGCGATATTCGTGGACTCTTTGGCACCGCGAGCGGCCGCTCCCGTTAATGAGCGTATATTGATTTCGAGCGCCGCATGACCGGACATCAAAGAGTAGACGAGCAACAAGTATCCCGCCGGGAGAGGAACCGAAAGCCTGAGATTACAATTTAAGCCTGTTTACGTCGGGATTCCGTCTCTGTGATCTCGCGCGCCACGCATAGTCCGCGTCGATTCGGAATCCCGTCTCCTCCGGCGCGCGGCCGTTTCTCTCTGCCCTCGCGCGCGCGCGCGCGCGCACGCTTCTTCCCATTTTAGCCTCCCGTTTTGCTCTCCCGCGGCTGCCTTTTGCGCACCAGCGACTCGTGATTATTTTCCCAATGTACTCCTGCGGCTCGATACTGCCGCGGAATATAAACGGCCGCGCCATCTCTCGAGAGCTGTGTGTTTTGGAAACAACTGAATAATAATAAAACATTAAAGCGTATCTCTCGCTCTCTCGCTCTCTCTCTCTCTCTCTCTCTCTCTCCCCCCTCCCCTATCTCTTAAAGCGCGCAATCTCCATTTCATTTGCAGAAGGAAACGAGTAAATCCACACGTTGTACTGTCTGTGGATTCTGTAGCACGGGTGTCGTCAACGCGTCACGATTTCCTGCAAAATTCCCCTTGCGACGAAACAGATCTCGCATTCAACATAGAATCCACGATCGGGAGAACATCCGGTGACTCCGGAATGTCCTACAGCCACGTGCATGTTACGCGCGTTACGCTCGCTTAAGAGGATGTGGTGCTCGCGCAATTAAAACGGAGTTCGCTTCGCGAACGTTTCAGCGTTTCGTATCTCGTTGTATTCTTAACGCGAACGCGAGCGAGCAAAATATTCATGGGGACACATTCATGCTGATACGCACTTGAACGGCATGAATACGAAAGCGGGGAACAGGGCGGTGGGAAGAAAGCGCGGCGATGACGATCTGCTCGTGATAGTCCGTTTATGAGCGGACTAGGACGAAGAGGAGCCTCGCGACGAGAGGCTGTCAGTCGGTATCAATGATCGTAATAATAATTGGCGGCGGATTGTCGGCCGACCGGCCGTATCATTTACCTGAACGC